TATACTATTACTAGAATAAATTACTATGCAACGCTCTTGCCTCCATAAATCAGGTAGTGCTTGGACTAGAACACTCAGAAACAGAAGAACACGGATAGACTCAAAGTGCTATTTGTATTGTGGGAACCCTTTAAACTATTCTCTACTAGAATACTTGAAGTAGCATTATTTGTGACACGCTTTTTCGCATTTTTCTCAGAAACAGTTAGTCATACGAGAAAAGTCGTATATAATAATATGCGCATTCTTAATAGATCTACAACTTTTGTTTGAAGCTTTTTTGGGTATAATTAATATTTTGCAAGATAAACAAATTAAATTGATTTTTATCTTTAATCTCATGGTATTTTCCATCTTCAAGGGCCTAGGGGCACCCTTTCCCTTTATCCGATTAAGCTCAAATTTATACATAGTAAATCGTAAAGTGGAGAAATCAGAAAATGTTTAAATACCCGTACCATTGTATATTTACCGTATGAGTGCATTTTCACTTGAATTAGACGTAATATTACGTTATAATTTTCTTTAACTTAACTTAGACGCTCAATGCGATATTACAGAGACAATGTTATTTTACTGCAATTTATTACAGTACCAAAATAACCAACGATTGAATATGTAAATTTACAAAGGAATTTTTATCAGGGTGTTCAGCACGATTTCCTGTAATGGGAATTCATATGGGGCGTAACGTAATTACCGTGTAGTACAGCTACTGTACTTTTTCCTTTTATTTTTTATGGATAAGGTAACTTTGGGTAATAAGGCTCACCATAACTTGAAAGGCGCGTAATAACTAAAATATTAAGTATTTTGGGAAGGGGAGATGAGCAGAGGGTACACGAACAATGTTTATTTCAGGCAGAAACTATAAAAAGAATATATAATCCGAAACGAATACGTAATTAAAAAATTGCAGAATGGGGCCCTGGGCTTTGTTACCCGAACGTGTAGGTAATAAGGCCCGATGGGAGGATGCACATTAATTAGCACAATTAGGGCAAGTTATGTCATCAAGATCCTCGAATGTTGTCTTCGGGCATTCTTCGTAAAGCCATTTCTTGCCCAAGGCATGTTGCCGCATATGAGCAACCCTATTTTCTTTTTCTTTTCTTTTTTATTTAACATCGCATCAACTGCACTGGTTATTAGCGACGCACTGTTGAGTTAAATATATTGTGTAGGTGAGTAAATCATGGTGGTCAAGTTTTACAATTCACGTAGGAGGGTAATGTTTTTTAGGAACATTAGGGTTTTGTATGTATGTACAGTAGGCACCCCCACATTGGAAATATGGAATGAAACCTATTGGAGAATTTAGTGCTTTTTTAGTGCTATTTTAGTGCTACAACCTCGATTTTAGTGCTCCACCCCTTATACTGAAAATCGGTGGGGGGTGCTGAGTGAACGTTCACTCAGCACCCCCACAGTACATACTACGTTAAGGGAAAGACTCACGGAAAAAACGGGTATGCATGTTCTCTTCTCGAATTATTTTGGTGGTATTTTAGTGCTCTAGAAATACCCAAGAGCCAGATCCGAAACATTACCCCTTTCACCCCAAAACTACCCCCGTTCGTGTAAGCGCCAAGAGAGAAGAGGTAGAAATAATAACATTTTCCATGTTCTCTTCTCGAATTATTTTAGTGCTCTAGAAATACCCAAGAGCCAGATCCGAAACACCACTCTTTTCACCCCAAAACTACCCCCGATCGTATTAGCGCCAAGAGAGAAGAGGTAGAAATAATAACATTTTACATGTTTTCTTCTCGAATTATATTGGTGGTACTTTAGTGCTCTAGAAATACCCAAGAGCCAGATCCGAAACACCACCCTTTTCACCCCAAAACTACCCTTGATCGTGTAAGCCCCAAGAGAGAAGAGGTAGAAATAATAACATTTTGTATGTTCTCTTCTCGAATTATATTGGTGGTACTTTAGTGCTCTAAAAATACTCAAGAGCCAGATCCGAAACACAATCCTTTTCACCCCAAAACTACCCCCGATCGTATAAGCGCCAAGAGAGAAGAGGTAGAAATAATAACATTTTACACGTTTTCTTCTCCAATTATATTGGTGGTACTTTAGTGCTCTAGAAATACCCAAGAGCCAGATCCGAAACACAATCCTTTTCACCCCAAAACTACCCCTGATCGTATAAGCGCCAAGAGAGAAGAGGTAGAAATAATAACATTTTGCATGTTCTCTTCTCGAATTATATTGGTGGTACTTTAGTGCTCTAGAAATACCCAAGAGCCAGGTCCGAAACATCACCCCTTTCACCCCAAAACTACCCCCGATCGTATAAGCGCCAAGAGAGAAGAGGTAGAAATAATAACATTTTGTGTATTCTCTTTTCGATTTATAATCGAAGTTGTAGCACTAAAATAGCATTAAAAAAGCACTAAATTCTCCAATAGGTTTCATTCCATATTTCCGATGTAGTGGTGCCTACTATACATACATGGGTTTTGTTAACTTCTTGTGGGTCACCGAGAGCTTTGGTAATTGAATTGAGTATTCTGAAGCCTTTTCTTGCCATTTGATATTTTTTACATTCAGAGATAATGTGTTGTACCGTTGTTTGGCTGTTACATTCATCACAGGACGTTGGATTTGTTTTTAGAATTAGATGGTTATCAGTGAGCTTTGTATGACCGATTCTTGCTCTTGTTAATGTTGCTCTTGTAAACTTGATGAAGACGAGGCAGGTCATTCCAAGTTGGGTGCCTATTTTCTTGATAAAGGCCGCGGTCCCAGTTCTCGGTCTTCTTTGATGTGTTTTTTTAAAGGTATTTCGCTAAAAGTCGCGACGTTGTATTTACTACAACTAGTCATACTTTCATGTCCTTTTTGAAAAAGATCTTTGGTTGCGCTACGTTACCCTATGCCGGGCCTTATTCCCCGTTCGGCGCAAATTACATTTCCAAGTTATCATTTTTAAAACGACAAACCTTTTCGACAAAACTCATACAACGGGATGTAAAGAAAGGTATAAGGTACTACGTACTTGCTAGACAGAGCAGGACTTCAAAAAACTTTGGGACAAACAGCTTGAACGCTGCAACCAAATTTGTGATAAGATTCCCTCAGAAATATTTCTTATCGATCTCGGTTTACCATGGACCCGTCCACAGCCCCGACAATACCCTCAATGGACTCTTCTTTCTCCTACTAATTGGCAGAGGGAGCCACAAACGTTTCACTTTTGCTATGTGGTGAAATATATAGGTGCGTCAAGCTAGCAAGGCAACATTCCAATTCACGATTTCTGAATACAGAGGAATTGTGTGCTAATTATGTGCTGCAATAGTTTTTCCTTTACATCGACCTTTTTTTTTTTCGAAAACTCGATTTTCGTTCCGGGCGTGCTAACTCGGCCTCAAACTAGCACGTTCCCTCCTTAAACATTATAAAAAGTTAAAAACAAATGCACCAAATTGAAGGGGAAATTATGTGCTGATTTTGTGCTGTAATAGTTTTTTCTTTACACCGACCTTTTTTTCAGAAAACTCGATTTTCGTTGAGAGCGTGCTGGCCCGGCGTCAAGCCAGCACGTTTTCTTCTCAAACAAGACAGAAAGTTAAACACAAATACACCAAATTGAAGGGGATATTATGTGCTAATTTTGTGCTGTAATAGTTTTTTCTTTACACCGACCTTTTTTTTCAGAAAACTCGATTTTCGTTGAGAGCGTGCTGGCCCGGCGTCAAGCCAGCACGTTTCCTTCTCAAACAAGACAGAAAGTTAAACACAAATACACCAAATTGAAGGGGAAATTATGTGCTGATTTTGTGCTGTAATAGTTTTTTCTTTACACCGACCTTTTTTTCAGAAAACTCGATTTTCGTTCCGGGCGTGCTAACTCGGCATCAAGCTATCACATTCCACTCGTAAACGATGTAATAAGGTAAAAGCAAGTACACCAAGTTGAACAAGAAATTATGTGCTAATATTGTGTTGAAATATTTTTTTTTAAACCTATAATTTTTCCGAAAGTTTATTTTCGTTCCGGATAATTAGCACATAAAGAGCACAAAATGTTAAGACAAAGAAATTGGAATTTTTTAAAGGTGGGGGTGCCAGCTTTACGCACCTCTCGCCCGGTACGAAAATAGAAACTTTGGGAAAAATTATAGGTATAAAAAAAACTATTTCAACCCAAAATTAGCACATAATTTCCTTTTCAACTTGGTGTGCTTGTCTTTTACCTTATTACATCGTTTACGAGTGGAATGTGCTAGCTTGACGCCGAGTTAGCACGCCCGGAACGAAAATCGAGTTTTTGGAAAAAAAGGAAGGTGTAAAGAAAAAACTATTGCAGCACAAAATTAGCACATAATTTCTCCTTCAATTTGGTGCATTTGTTTTTAACTTTTTATAATGTTTAAGGAGGGAACGTGCTAGCTTGACGCCGAGCCATCATGCTCGGAACGAAAATCGAGTTTTTGGAAAAAAAGGTCGGTGTAAAGAAAAAAAAACGATTACAGCACAAAATTAGCACATAATTTGCCCTTCAATTTGGTGTACTTGTTTTTAACTTTCTGTCTTGTTTGAGATGGGAACGTGCTGGGTTGACGTCAAGCTAGCACGGCCACACTGAAATTTCAAATTTCGGAAAAATGGTGGGGGTACAAAATTAATTAATTCAGCACAAAATTAGCACATAATTAGCACATAATTCCTCTGTATTCAGAAATCGTGAATTGGGATGTTGCCGTGCTAGCTTGATGCACCTGAAATATATGTTGTTACTTGTTACTCGAAGTTACCTTATATCTTTTTCGATATTTCTCGACAGCCCGAAATCGGCGAGGTCGCACCTCTCTCGGTTTTCTCTCGTTTCCTTTTTCCGCGCGTTGCATTTCCCACCGCGAACGGAGGGAAAAAGAGGGAAATGGAAAAGGGAGAGAAGAGACACGCGGCGAGGACTTTGCGCCTGCCGATCGATACCTTAAAGCCGAGCTTTCTGTTAACGCTCCTGATATTCCATTTTCCAGGCAAAAGTGGGAGTCCCTCCTGAAGATCGTCAGGTGCGAGATCATCAGTTTCTGCAGCAACGACCAGGTCGACGCCTACGTCTTAAGGTAACGCACTTCGACGTCCCCGACGCGCTTCGAGGCCTTGACTCGAGAAATCAGGAAAATGGATTCACCTCTTTCAGGACCGATTGCTCCTGGTTAAGGTGATGTGAAAGTGGCGTCGGAGAGGTTTTGTTTATGAAGCTTTTCTCCCAATTCGGTTTACCGAATAGTTTGAAACGTTACAACGTGAATAGGGGGACTATAAGGAAGGTCCTGACACTCGTGAAATTTCAATTCTTTTCAAATTTGTTTATAGGTATTTTAAAAATAGTTTACAAAAAATGAAATTTCGCGAGTTTCAGGACCTACCTTAGGGTCTCCATATTCACGTTTTAAAGTATGAAACGATTTGAGACACCCAGTTAGGAGAAAAGTTTTATGAACAATTGAGCTTTCGGATGTCACTTTCACATCCCCTTAAGGTGAAGTGAAAGTGGCGTCGGAGAGGTTTTGTTTATAAAGCTTTTCTCCCAATTCGGTTCACCGAATAGGGTGAACCTTTACAACGCGAATAGGGAGGTTATAAGGAAGGTCCTGACACTCGTGAAATTTCAATTCTTTTCAAATTTGTTTATTGGTATTTTAAAAATAATGTATAAAAAATGAAATTTCGCGAGTTTCAGGGCCTATCTTAGGCTCTCCATATTCACGGTCTAAAGTATGAAACGATATGAAAAACGCAGTTTGGAGAAAAGTTTTATGAAGGATTAAGCTTTCGGATGCCGCTTTCACATCCCCTTAAGGTGATATGAAAGTGGCGTCGAAGAGGTTTTGTTTATAAAACTTTTCTCCCAACTCGGTTTACCGAATAGTTTGAAACTTTATAACGTGAATAGGTAGACTATAAGGAAGGTCCTTAAACTCATGATATTTCTATTATTTTCAAATTGGTTTATAGGTATTTTAAAAGTAGTTTATAGAAAATAAAATCTCGCGAGTTTCAAGACCTACCTTAGGGTCTACATATTCACGTTTCAAAGTATGAAACGATTTCAGAAACCCAGTTTGGAGAAAAGTTTTATGAACGATTAAGCTTTCGGATGCCACTTTCACATCCCCTTAAGGGGACTTGTTAGTTTTTGGTTATAATTAGATATGAGATAGCGTCTTCTTCGTGTAAAACTGAAGTTCCGGCATTTAAAACAATAAAGCTAAGCAGTATAATAACTTAAATGTAAAAAGCAGGAATGTGTTTTACATGCAAACAACTTATCTACTATCGGAATCGGTGCGCCGAATTCGGAGAAAAGTTTTATAAATAATTTGACACTTGAGGGGCTATTTTCATATAACCTTAAGGTGATATGAAAGTCGTATCTGAGGGGTCAGTCGGTTATGATACATGGTAATGTAAGATGAAACTTTACAACGTTAATATGAACAACCCAAAAAGTCTGATACCCACAAAATGATATTAAACAAAAATTTGTATTTGATATCTCAAACTAGAATCGAGATGGTATCGTCATATATACATATTTTCCATATTTTTCGCTTTTTGAAAACTTAGAACCGAAAACAATGACTTTCAAGTTCTTACATAACAAGTTAGAATTCTATAATAATCGATTATTATAGATTCACGTGGGAAGTATCGGAAAATGTTTTACAAATAAGTGCGGGGAAATTCTCCGATATTCCATGAACAGCGTGTTTTTTGTTCCAAAATTTGTTTATCGCCAAATGCCACAGATCTTGCGTTAGGTCGATTAGAGTATAAAAAATCATGAATCTAGGTAATTTATTGAGCGTTATTTCTATTTCTTTATAATTATTCTACTGAAACGACATACGGAGGATGTCCTTGCATATGATTATCTATTTAGTACGACACAGCTGTCGATATAAGTGCAAATGTCGGTAATCGTTTCAGATGGTATATCTGTTAAAAGGATCTTTTTTGCCGACATTAATTTTCCAAGTGCCTTTCATAACACCTTAAGATGATATGAAAAAGTCAGCTTATATATATATATCTAAGAGGNCATTTCCGATGTTTTGCGTTTCTTAGAGGCTTTGTATTAAAAATGAAGCGTTTCAGGACCTAGATTGAACAATTTAGAATTTCATTTTTCATAAAAAATTAATTTATTTATCATGGACTAAAACTAACGTGGCATGGTCCGGGTGCATTTTCGATATTTTACGTTTCTTGGAGGCATAGGGTCGAAAATGAAGAGTTTCAGGACCTAGATTGAACAATATAGAATTTCATTTTTCATAAAAAATTTATTTATTCATCATGGGCTAAAACCAATGGGGTATGGTCCGGGCGCATTTTCGATGTTTTACGTTTCTTGGAGGCTTAGGATCGAAAATGAAGAGTTTCTCGGGACCTAGCTCGAACAATTTAGAATTTCATCTTTCATCCAAAATTTATTTATTTATCATAGCATGGTCCGGGCACATTTCTGATGTTTTACGTTTCTTAGAGGCTTTGTATCGAAAATGAAGAGTTTCAAGACCTAGCACAAACAATTTAGAATACTGTAGAAATGGAATATGACAGAATTAGACCAGAAAATGTGGAAAATACTTTCACCAACGATTGCAAGTGAATGCTAGCTTGTCTCGGGGCTCGACGTGTTTTTGGAGCAAAAAGTTAATTGCAGCTAACCCTTACAGATGGCGACGTTGGTCCTAAACAGTCGTTAAAATAATGAATTCACGGGATTTCGGCAGTTTTACGTCCATCTCTTCATCAATACTTTACTGAAATAACAAATGGAACGCTTCAGTTCGTGTAATTCTCGACGTAGACTGTAAAACCCTTGAACATAAATATAAATCACGGTAACGTGACGTGCCAGCTTATGTTACAACTTGAGTATTCAAAATGGCGTTCCCACCGAAAAGGGTACATATGAATTTTTATTTATCGACCTCGATTAAATTTCTCAGCGTCTTTCATATCATCTTAAATGTATAATTCTACTCCAACCATATGTACTAAAAGTGCATGAATTTTATGAATATCTCTAACAGTGGAGCTATAAATGACCCGGAAATGGGTAGTTCAGCTCGAAGGGGTGCGACAGGGTGCGGTTTTCCAACAGCACTCCACCTAATTAAAACCAGCAGATCGGCAATAAATTATCAATAAGTTTGGCAATCAATTTTATTTAATTGTGCCAAAGTGGCAATGCCAGCTTTATGTACATCAAATCGGCTCTACGGCGATTTTTTCTTCGTTCCGGAAACGGCGCGGTTTGCTCCGTCGTTGCGACTCTCTCGTTGCCCTAACGCCGGGCGTTAACGCGGCGGACAGTGGGTCACGGGTCAACGTCTGCCGTGGAGTTGCCGATAACTCGGCGATCTATAATTAGAACGTCGATTAACGACACGAGATATTACCGTCAATTCGCGGTCGTTTGCCGCGGCGATGCGGACTGCCACGTGGTCGCTCTTTTGCTTTACATGTTAAGTTTCTATGTGTAGTTAAGGTGAAATGAAACCCTCCCCTAGAATCAGTCGAATCGAATGAGATCTTTTTTTTAAGGGGATTGGATAGAACTGTCTGAAATTTTGACACATGACGAGATTATTGTCAATTCGCGGTCGTTTGTCGTGGCCATGCGGACTGCCACGTGGTCGCTCTTCTGCATCCACCTGGTGGCTCCCAGTGGCCCTTTGTGCATTTCTAGGTTGACAAAAATATTATGCATGTTCTGCAAATTCATATTTTAAGTTCTATATGTAGTTAAGATTAAATGAAACCCACCTCGAATCAGTCGAATCGAATGAGACACTTTTTGTTCAAGGGGATTGGATAGAACTGTCTGAAATTTTGAGACATAACGAGATTATTGTCAATTCGCGGTCGTTTGTCGTGGCGATGTGGACTGACACGTGGTCGCTCTTCTGCTTCCACCTGGTGGCGACCAGTGGCCCTTTGTGCATTTTTAGGACGGCAAAAGTATTATGCATGTTCTGCGAATTCACATTTTAAGTTCTATATGTAGTTAAGGTGAAATGAAACCCCCCTCGAATCAGTCGACTCGAATAAGACACTTTTTTTTAAGGGAATTGGATAGAACTGTCTGAAATTTAGATACATAATGAGATTATTGTCAATTCGCGGTCGTTTGTCGTGGCGATGTGGACCACGTGGTCGCTCTTCTGCATCCACCTGGTGGCGCTCAGGGACCATTTGTGCATTTCTAGGTTGACAAAAATATTATTTATACTCTGGGAATTCACATGTTAAGTTTCTATGTGTAGCTAAGTTGAAGTGAAACTCCCCTTGAATCAGTCGAATCGAATGAGACACTTTTTGTTTAAGGGGATTGGATAGAACTGTCTGAAATTTTGACACATGACGATATTATTGTCAATTCGCGGTCGTTTGTCGTGGCCATGCGGACTGCCACGTGGTCGCTCTTCTGCATCCACTTGGTGGCGCTCAGTGACCATTTGTGCATTTCTAGGTTGACAAAAATATTATTTATACTCTGGGAATTCACATTTTAAGTTCTATATGTAGTTAAGTTGAAATGAAACCCTCCTCGAATCAGTCAAATCGAATGCGACACTTTTTTTTTTAATTGGATTGGATAGAACTATCTGAAATTTAGATACATAACGAGATTATCGTCAATTCGTGGACGTTTGCCGCAGCGATGTGGACTGACACGTGGTCGCTCTTTTGCTTCCACCTGGTGGCGCTCAGTAACCATTTGTGCATTTCTAGGTTGACAAAAATATTATTTATACTCTGGGAATTCACATTTTAAGTTCTATATGTAGTTAAGATTAAATGAAATCCCTTCAAATTAGTCGACTTGAATAAGATCCTTTTTTTAAGGGGATTGGATAGAACTGTCTGAAATTTTGACACATAACAAGAGTATCTTCAATTCGCGGTCGTTTCCGTGGCGATGCGGACCACGTGGTCGCTCTTCTGCATCCACCTGGTGGCGTCCAGTGGCCTTTTGTGCATTCTTAGGACGGCAAAAATATTATGCATGTTCTGCGAATTCACATTTTTAGTTCTATATGTAGTT